GGTTAAAAACAAAAAATATAAATGGTGTATGCTCTATAATGCCCGATTGACCACTAATGTGGCCACAAGTCATACTTTTTTTTAAAAATTTAAAAAAAAATATAAAAAAATATTTGAGGCATTTTAACACAATATTATATAAAATATTTGATCAAAATAAAAAAATATAATTTATTGCGCTATTGATCACTTATAAATACATATATTTCTACGCTTTAGTTATCACAATTGTTGTTGGATTTGAAACACAATATTTTAGAATAATCGAAACCTAATTAGTATGACCACGAATATCGTGTTATTGAAAAAACAAACAATTGATTTAAAACATATGCAAAATATATTGTTTTGTGTTTCAGTAAATCATGTTTTAAGAGAATATTGAGATTACAATGAATTACTTAAACGTTTGTATTTTATTGAATGAAAAGCAACGGAAAGTGGCGTTCGGTCTGGAGTTTGAGTTTCCCGGGAATGGGTTCGCGAGCGGAACTGAAGGGTGCGATCAAAGTGCAGGTGCACTACTTCGAGGACGGAAATGTGCAACTCTTCAGTGTTAAGGACTATTCAAAACCAATCACTATTACTGTAAGTGTTGTCCCGTTTAAAAATACTGTCAAATAATTTGAATTGTGTTTCAGAATGAGAAACAATTGGCAGAAGAAATAAAACAATTGATCGAAGAATCGGAAGACGATTACCAAACGGCCATTTGTGACAATTATCAAACAATGTCTGAAACCACGTTCAAAGCTCTCCGAAGAGCGCTTCCAGTGCTTAAGGGGAGACTCGACTGGAATCGAATCGTCAATTACACGATTGGCAATGAATTGAAGCCTTACAAAGTCTGACTTGTGAGGGAAGAATCAATTACAAATACTTTTATTGCATTATTATTGTGAGAGCAAGTTGTAGTTCTCAATGAATGGTAGACTCGGTTTTGATGTATTCAAAAGCGTTTTATTAATAATTAAATTAAAAAGCGTTTTACAATCGAGTCGTGATTTGGTTAATGATTAAACGTGTCGTCTATGAGACGGACAGTGAGTGACTCAATGGAGTGAATGGTGTGAATGGAGTGAATGGTGTGAATGGAGTGAATGGGAGACAAAGGGTGGAAAGGGAAGTGTGAATGTGGGTGAGTGTGAGTGAGTGAGCGATGCGAGCGCTATCTTTGTCTCAATTGAATAAAAATTGATGTAAATTATAAACTTATTAAACATTTTTACTTATCAATGATAAGTTATCATTTATTATTGAGTTAAAAATTACACGACAAGTAATATAAGGTATATAAGCACTCATTAATCCAAATCCCCTGCAAAGGAACGCTTAGATAAGATGCATGTGCTTTGATTTGTCATTTTATAAGTGTTTTATTCAAAGAAATACAAGTAAAAAAATTATTTAGAAAAGTGCAAAAAGTTAAGTAATTTGCGATTAAAAAAAGTATAAAAACCAAAAAGTTTTACAAATTAAGAATCAAATAAAAATGAATTCTTTTCTCTCAATTCTCGCGTTTTGTTGTTTTTCAGGCGTTTTCTCTGCCGTCAACTATAGGGTTCACATCTTCTACTATCCGTGGTATCAGAATCCGAGCCATTCCTCCAAATGGAGACATTGGACACAAGCGGAGCACAGGGCGCCCAAAGACGTCGCCTCCAACTTCTACCCATCTCTCGGCGCCTACGACTCGTGTGACCCCCAAGTGCTCGACCAACACATGAAATGGATCGCAGAGGCGGGCGTTGGAGTGGTGTTGACGAGTTGGTGGG